ATTAACAGTCGAGATTCAGCGGAAAATCTACAACTGTTGAGTCTGCTGAACGCGGCCAATGTGTTTATGTAAGTAAAATGTGCTGATTGATTCTCAAGTGCATATAACCAAGAAGTTTTTAGTATTTCTGTGCGTATTTTTGTTCCAATTATACCCGTGTTTATATACATTGATTGTGCGACAAAGCTGATGAAAGTCAAAATCCGCAGCGGGTGAAGTCGCTTCAATACCTTAGCTGGTAAATTTATTTGTTACTTAACATACATAAACAATTATAATTTGTATTTATTAAATATGTAGTAAGATATTTAAAAATATTTATTGAAATATTCATTGAAATATTTATCAAATAGTTGATACAATTTTTAAATAATTATTTACACAATTTATTGCATATAGTTATATTTTATTGAAAAAATAATTAAATTAATACATAATTATTTAATATACATTAAATTCATAAGAATTAAAATATATATTAATGTTTTTAGGTGCAGCTGAAAGCACTTCGCTAGGGTACAACAATCGGTAAGTGAATTCATTCTGATACTTGTGCAATTTTACAAAATACTGATCAATACATATCATCCGCTGTCATTTTATTTGTCAATATAATTACTAAGTGCCTTGACAATAATTTGTTTGCCGTTTACATGTGTACGCATAAACAATAAGTTAAAGAATGATTTTTATCAATAAAAAAATTTAACATTTTAGTCATTTTACAAGTCATGCGTGTAATTTATAGCTTATATTAAAAAATAATACAAGCAAAATTTTAGAACTATAAATTATGTTAATACATATATTTAAGTATAAATTATATAAACATATATTAATTTAGTACACAAGAAATTTTAGGATAATTTATGGAGTATTTATGAGGTTATAATAAATTCAATATTTAGGATAAAATATTTCGGCAATTTTTAGGTTTGATTTGTTTTATGTGGAATAAAATGCATTATTATTCCTACGTGTATAAACATATTTGATGATAGCGGAAGATGAATGTATAGTCACATATCAGTAATTTATTGTCGCCTAATTGCGCTTTGCTTCAAAGAATTTATTTGTACGATGGCACATCTACTTTTATTGATGCGATTGTGCCATTTTGTCCTGCATTTGCGTCGTCGCGTTTTACAACTGCGGAAAGTCGCCTTTTATTATGATGCACGCATTCATGTTGGCTCAAATCGTCATTGTTACGCCAACGCGATTACATCATATACTTACGCATTATGATCATCCACGACTTGCTCGGTACTGCTTGTCTACGTTTCGTGAGGAAAAGAAAATTAACATATTTTTCAAATTATATATGAAACCTAAAAATTACATTTAAAAAACACGCTTACATAGAAATAGTACTACGTTTGTAAACTTTTTAAGTATTTTGTTTAATAGATTTTTAGAAGAGAAAAACATAAAATGAAAGGTAAGCACACTTAATTTATTGTCTTACAAACTGAAATGTCAAATGCATTAATTTGTGACATAAATTAAAATGTCAAATATATTAATTTGTCATTGTTGCATGCAAGTCATATTCTTAAAGAAAGAAACATTATTTCTGTTCTGTAAATTTCTAGTTAACTGACTTCAGTGATTGCACGTAGCTGCTTATTACCACCGATAAGTTATCGCAGCTTAAGATTCTTTTTCCGAGGTCAAGATACGTGCAATTAAAATTGCCTCGAGAAATATCTAATATGTAAATTTAATGTAAAATTTACGTATCTAATTTTACGTAACTAACTTTATGTAACTAATACTAACTTTAAGATTGCTTGCATGTTTTTAGACATAACTATAAATTCAAAACCAGTTATTCTACTTTATTGCAATTAAGTTTGAATTATATGGGCATGCAATATAAATTGTACAAATGTTAATGTATACTAAATTATTTTACTTCAGTAATATTTGAAACATTTCCTATATAGGAAAGAGAAATTTAAAGTACAACATAAATAATGTATGAATCTATTTAACATAAAAATATAGTAAACGGGGTAGAAAGTGTTCAGTTAGAGTTTCAAAATTTTTTTAATGCTATTGATTTGTATATCTATTTATTTTTCTTGAAATTGTATATTAAGTTTAAAAATGGGTATCTTTTTGCTTTATATTTTGTACTTTATCTTTTTATCGTTTCTTCTTAAGCATCGGTTTCATGCACCTGCCACCAGACGACGCCGCTATGATAGTTAGCAACGTTAATTTTCATTCGGTAGTTTTCCCTTTTACTTTTATGGTTCGGTAAGTCGGTCTCCGCAATAGTGTTTCACATGAACTCTTTTGGTATCGTCTAAGAACACAACAAAGTTCCAATTTTTATTTCACTTGTACCGATCGCAATAAATGCAGCCAAATTTCATGCGAAATGTATGTGTAAAACGATTTTTAGTAGAAGATTTATAAAGTACGAGTTAACGCGTTTCTTACAGCAAGAATAAAATTGGAAGAAGAGAAAAGATAAAGGATTCAATTATTTTAATATAAATAATATAGATTGAAAACGAAGAATCCCGATAACTCGATCGAATTAAATATTCATGGTACCATTGGCATTCACTATCCCGTAAAATCGAGCAATTTCGCGGATTACGATTATGCTGTGTGTATCGCCAGTCGGTTTAAACGATCGCGTCGTGGCGGGCGAACAATAGCGGCGGAATCGGGTGAGTTCGGTTGTTGTCGAGACTCTTCGACATTTCCTCGTGCCTGCGTCTGCCACAACGACGACATACGTCCATTCGCTGTGTATACGTGCGCGCGTGTTTGCTCGTGGTGGTCTCACGTTGCGTTCACCTACTCGTGCGTGATTTTTGTATTTCGCGTATTCTTCTGTGTGGTGCGGTGTGTCCGGTGAATCCGGTCACAGATTCGCAAGTTCTATCTTTCTCCTCCTTCTCCGCTCTTGCCCGTTGAAAGGGTGAGACCGACGCGATGTCCTCTCTGAAGGACGATAAAGTGCCGTGCGCCCGGCTCTGCCACATCGCCAAGTGGGACGACTTCCCGGGCTACGGCTTCAATCTGCACGCGCAGAAAGGCAAAAACGGCCAGTTTATCGGCAAGGTGGATGATGGTTCGCCGAGTCAGGCGGCCGGTTTGCGCCAGGGCGACCGGATAATTGAGGTGAACGAGATTGACATCGCGAACGAAACGCACAATCAGGTGGTCGAACGCATCAAGGCATTCGCCAACGAAACTAAACTGCTAGTAGTCGACCAGGAGGCCGATGATTACTTCAGGGAGAATAACATCGTCATCAAGGGCACCATGCCTAATATCAAGGTGATCAAGACGCCGGAGAAAAATCCCAACAGCGTGGAAGACCGTTCTGATGGCAGCTCCGTTGACGAGGTAAGGAAGCTTCCGGTTCTTCTTTCGTATTTTCATTCTGGATGTACCAGCTGACAATTTATTATGTATCACAATTTCTAACGACTTAAGTTGCACGTGGATTTTATTTCAGTCTAATATATGTGTAAAAAACGTTGAATAATGAATTTTTTTCTATTTTTATGATATATGTATGAAAATGGACTTGATACTTTTTGAATTAAGATCTTTTTTTTAATTCCGCATAACTATTGTAGATGAAAGATGATTAATTACGTATAATAAGTGCGTAAATATGTAATGTATATAGTAATTGACAAAATTTGAACCGTGCTATAATAATGAATAATTATTAAGCGAGTCATGCTAAATCGCGATTATTCTGAATAAGTATGAATATCCGTGCATATTTAAATTTACGATAAAACAAACAGAAATTTGTAACGACTTAAATGATAACCTAAGTTGCACGTGCATTTTTTTTCAATATGTATGTGTAAAAAACGTTGAATAATGCATTTTTTATTTTTCTGCATAAAACGTGCAGAAATATAATAAACTGCATTGCAAAAGAGAGAAATTGGATGGATAAAAACTAAATCCTCATTTAACAAAATTTATTAAAATTTAATTTAATTTAAAACAGATTTGAAAGTTCTTTCTATTTTTAAATTCTCTTATGAAAACGCACTTGTATTTATTTACTTTTTATTATATTTTTCTGGTAAAATGGTGTCGAATAGATTTGTTACAAGGATGTAGTTGATGCGTCTTACGACGAATGCACGATTAATTGCACGTTTTCTTCGATTTCGAAAGTCCGAGAGCTACGCGACGCCCGTATTGAAAGAATCCGTGGTATTCGCGTGGAATTTATCCGAGCTGTGGTACGAGTCCACCTGTTGGATTCGTATGAGTCCACTTGTTGTTGTCGCTGCTAGCCGTTCGTGTGTTTACGTCTGTCTGTTTATACTAGAAAGTGTCTAACACGCTCGGGATGCGTGCAACACCGCGATGTATCAATGCTGGATGTCCATGATCTATGGCCGATAATTTCAATGTTCGTATATAGTAAAATATTACATCATTATTAATGTAGCATATGCATATAATTCATAGTAGCACGCAGAATTCACTTTAGGAATGTTAATTAAATACGCGCGAGATCTACTTTAAATACATCGCTCTTAATTTCGACGTTTCTCTTTTTTTAAAGGTAGATATTTCGCAAATAGATACGCATTTAGCAAAATTTCAGAATATGATTTTATTTTACTGTTGTTTTAAAATATAATAGTTCATTTACATGTTGATTTTCGTTGGATAGTTATGCAGTTGTCCTGTTTTTTTATTTTTCACGCTGTAGTGTTTAATATTTAGCCTTTATATTCACATAAAATACAAGCAGGTGCGCGCAGTTGAATGCACATGCGTCATCGTGTCGTAATTAGTTATTTCTCCGCGGAACGGTCTTGCTGTTGCTGTGCTTTTTTAGCTATTGCGATGATCGATGTATCGCAGTAAAGTAACCGGAATAGAAATTGGATGTAGAGTGTGTGGCACAAAAGAGAGATATGCTCATGATTTCCTTTGCAAATTTGTAAATTTTAACATATTTGATAGATCATATTAAATCTAACATAACGCGCGAATAATATTGCTATACAAAATTCATACTTTATCTCATATTCGATATTATTAATTTAACTCAAATTTATAGAATAAACGTAGTAATTGTCAGCATTTTATGTTTATACCAAATTGCAAATTTCAATTACATAAGTGTACGATGTTTGCTTATGCGATGATATTTATGGCGGTCACGCAGGAATTAGGTTCTGTAATTAATTTTTGTGGTTGTAATCACCACTGTCGCGATTTAATAATATCACGGCAATCCCATTTTATAAATAATTTTTAAATTGTAATCAAGTCGCGATTTAATAATATCATATAATGGTAATAATGATTAGATATTACGACAATCGTGCGTATCGAACGTACATTTTTCTGCGGACTATCAGATAACGTTAATAGTGCAAGGCAGGAAGTGATTTAGAATCGATCATCAAAATCGTTTTTCAAGGAAACGTTACGCAAGCAACGACGCTCGGGATTATTTTCCCATTGTGAACATGCATCCTCTCTCGGCGATGACGCGTCTCTTGGAACTCGCGCGTCTGCTAACTAATAAAACGAGAAATCATTATTTTTCTCTTTCATCAAATGGCGTGCGATTATCTCGCACGCGGATTTCTCATCGCACGACGTATTACGTCTTTTCATTATTATCAATTAGACGGAAGGATGCTTGTTCGAGAGATAAAAAAATTGCGGTAAATTCATATCTTTGTGAACTTGGCACCCGACTTTAAAAAAAATTATTTTTTAATACAGAAAATGTTAGTATTTTGATTGTAGTTGTTTGTAGTAACAATAATTTCGTTTGTAGTTTAATCAATAAAAAAATATAGCTATTTGAAAGAATATATATATATAGTTGTTACCCAATTATGGGATAAAAAAAATTTGATAATATACATATATCTTGATTCAGAATCGTTTATAGTTGTTTGTAGTGATTTTGCTTTCGTTTGTAGTTGCACCGTTTCAAAAAATTAAAAAAGAGTTGAATTATTATGACGTATGTTGTAAACATTTAAATGATGATACAAACGAAATTATTGTTACTACAAACAACTACAATCAAAATACTAACATTTTCTGTCAAAATATTTTTTTTTAAACTTAGATGCCCAAGTTCACAGAGGTTAAATTCATACGAGTCGCTACAAATATTGAAAATTGTAGAAAATTGTAAGAATATTCTCTCTCTCTCTCTCTCTCTCTTATATATTTTTCTGAAATATAAAAATAATTTTTAATTCTGAATTGTATAATTATAATTAATTATTAATTATAATTTAGAGGACTTATTTTTTTCTGATATATGTATAAGAATATCTTATATAATTACTAAAATCAAATAATATTATTTAAAGTATTTCTCCATCTCGCGAGTATTAATTCTACTAAGGCCGATTTAACTAGGGACAAAGGGGTTAATTGACATAAATTACCATTCTGTACATAATCCGTCGCGGTATTCGCATCGAGTCATCATCGTACGCATTGTGTCTTTCTGTATATCGTTATCAGTGATGATATGTTCGTATTTATTGAAACACATTCGACTCGCTCTCGTGAAATCGAGTAAACGTCGTTACCTAACTAAGCTAATGATGCCACATTTTCGAGAACATCTGTATTTACTTTTCAAGAGCAAGAAGACAGCAGTTCGAAGAATTATTCTTTATGTATAAAACCTCATAAAATGTGAAAATGATATCCGTATTTTTTTTAAAACGCGATTTTCCCTTATCGATGATTTTTCTTTAGAAATAGTGAAACAATGTTATCGCTATTCGCACACTCATGAGATATCTTACATAGAATGAGGATAATAGATAATATTCTCTCTTGGAATTAGAAAGACGAAATTAGTGAAGGACGAACGTATCATGATATATCCTTTCTATTATCTAGGCCATTGAATTACATTTCTCGTTATAAGTCGTTGATATTATTGTTAGCATTATTCACAATAAGAGCGTGAATAAATTATCAACGTCTGTACTTTCAAATCATAATTAATAACTATATTAGTAGAGCAAAATTATATATAATATCCATTATGTTGTATTGCAAAAGATGAATCGATCGATAGACATAATAAGCATTGAACTGCTAGCCATGATACATCTGCAACTTATATCGATTTTATTGGCAGGTGACATCGAGTATACACGCGTTCTCGCGTGTCGCAAGTGTGCGTGTTTATTACGCGAGAGGAATGTGAATAACCCCTATCGCGTTCTAGAATATGAGACTGTCTCGATTGACAGAACACGTGTATCGTCCATCATTCTAGTGCATTCAGAACCTTTTTGTATCTTACAAATCTTTTATTAATATTATATTTTGTATAATTAATAATTATTATTAATATTAAATGACATTTACGACATTGAATTATTCTATTAAAAAAATTTTAATTTATTTATATTTTTTTATTATATATATATAATTACTTACATTATTTTATTTATAAAAATGATTGGATTTGTTATATTTGAACAATAATAATGGTTAAATATTATTTATGATAACTATTATAGACATATCATAATTTTATGTTTATATATTATACACTTTGCAATAACAGTTGTTCACATTACCTTGGAACGTGGTTAAAACGTTATCACAAACTGGCGCGATGTGTTGTTTCTCGAAGTCGTCGCAAGAGTATTCGAATGTAACTGTGCTGCAGGGATGAATGAAATGTGATTGAATCATGCTGAATAAGCGGAAGCTTTACTGGTTCGCACGTGCCAACAGACTTTGTGCGTGAGATTGTTGTTTGATATTTCCTGCTTCCTATCAGACATGATAATCGACCAGTGACTTCTTTAAAAAGACAGTGTTATTTTTACGACTATTGAGTAAATTATTGTCATACTTGAAGAATACTTGAATTATTGAACACAGGATTTTTACTCTTTTTGAAGAAAACTAATGAAGATTTATTATTTATTATTTTTAAGAAATTTATTTTATTATTTTGCATAAAATAGATAAATAGGATAATAGAAAGTATTTATATCCATGAAATTTCTATTCTTAAGTAAAGATATAAAAGTTAAATATTGAGATACATTATATTGACAATGATAAATAAATATTTTTTATTTTGCATATGATGTGTTTGAATTGATTACAGAATATTGCTAAAATTCGATTATTGCCACCAAAAGTTTTAAAAAGATTAGAATCAGCAGTCTCAATAAAAGTGCTATTTTAAATTCGCGATATCTGATTCGATGATTCGGCTTACGACAGAGGCGAAAGTGACGACGTGTTCGTTATTAATATCCCGCTTATATATACGCATCGTTGTCCAAACGATAATTCATTTATAAAGAGGCAGACGCTCGCGAGTCGCAGTTTATTCATTTCGTTTA